CTGTATATATAGTGTTATGGAATATGTCACTGTATATATAGTGTTATGGAATATGTCACTCTATATATAATGTTATGGAATATGTCACTGTGTATATAGTGTTATAGTGTCTGTCACTGTATATATAGTGTTATGGTGTATTTCTCTTACCCTGGACAGGTGTATCCGCACTTTTACCGGTGTGAAAGTTCCTTTTCTCACCCTAGGGTTGAGACGGGGGGGGATTCCCCTTTTCATAACAATGGCATGACGTCACTTCAACAATACAATGACGTCACGTCAACAATCCATCAACGTCACGTCAACCCTGATTTTAGCATGTAACGTTATCATTACAATGTGTATATGATACACAATGGTAGAACAGGGTAAGAGAAAAAGAATATTTCATCCCCTTGGGGGTGAGATAGGAGAATCTCAACCCGAGGGGGAAGATTCTTAAGTTTCCAAACACGAGGCTTTATGTCACTGTATATAAAGTGTTATATTGTATGTCATTGTATAATGTATATAAAGTGTTATAGTGTATGTCACTGTATATATAGTGTTATAGTGTATGTCACTGTATATATAGTGCTATGGTATATGTCACTCTATAGATAATGTTATAGTGTGTGTCACTGTATAAAAAGTGTTATAGAGTATGTCACTGTATATATAGTGTTATAGTGTGTGTCACTGTATATATAGTGTTATAGTGTTTGTCACTGTATACAAAGTGTTATAGTGTATGTCACTGTATATATAGTGTTATGGTGTATGTCACTCTATAGATAATGTTATAGTGTGTGTCACTGTATAAAAAGTGTTATAGAGTATGTCACTAGAAATATAGTGTTAAAGTGTGTGTACTGTATATATAGTGTTATAGAATATGTCACTATATATATAGTGTTATGGTGTGTGTCACTGTATATATAGTGGTATAGAGTATGTCACTCTATATATAGTGTTATAGTGTGTGTCACTGTATAAATAGTGTTATAGAGTATGTCATTGTATATATAGTGTTATAGAGTATGTCACTGTATATATAGTGTTATAGTGTATGTCACTGTATACATAGTGGTATAGTGTATGTCACTATATATATAGTGCTATAGTGTCTGTACTGTATATATAGTGTTATAGAGTATGTCACTGTATATATAGTGTTATAGTGCATGTCACTCTTTAGATAATGTTATAGTGTGTGTCACTGTAAAAAAAGTGTTATAGAGTATGTCACTGTATATATAGTGTTATAGTGTATGTCACTGTATACATAGTGGTATAGTGTATGTCACTATATATATAGTGTTATAGTGTGTGTACAGTATATAAAATGTTATAGAGTATGTCACTGTATATATAGTGTTATGGTATATGTCACTCTATATATAGTGTTATAGTGTATGTCACTGTATAAATAGTGTTATAGAGTATGTCACTGTATATATAGTGTTATGGAATATGTCACTCTATATATAGTATTATGGAATATGTCACTTTATATATAGTGTTATAGTGTATGTCACTCTATAGATATTGTTATAGTGTGTGTCACTGTATATATAGTGGTATAGTGTATGTCACTGTATATATAGTGTTATGGTGTGTGCCACTGTATATATAGTGGTATAGAGTATGTCACTCTATATATATAGTGTTATAGTGTGTGTACAGTATATAAAATGTTATAGAGTATGTCACTGTGTATATAGTGTTATGGAATATGTCACTCTATATATAGTGTTATAGTGTGTGTCACTGTATATAAAGTGTTATAGTGTATGTCGCTGTATATAAGGTGTTATAGTGTATGTCACTGTATATATAGTGTTATGGTGTGTGCCACTGTATATATAGTGGTATAGTGTATGTCACTGTATAAAATGTATATAAAANACTGTTTATAATGTATATAAAATGCTGTAGTGTATGTCACTGTATATAATATATATAAAATGCTGTAGTGAATGTCACTGTATATAATGCATATAAATTGCTGTAGTGTATGTCACTGTTTATAATGTATATAAAATGCTGTAGTGTATGTCACTGTATATAATATATATAAAATGCTGTAGTGAATGTCACTGTATATAATGCATATAAATTGCTGTAGTGTATGTCACTGTTTATAATGTATATAAAATGCTGTA